AGGGACACAGAATTGTTACTCAGGGACACAGAATTGTTACTGAGGGACACAGAATCGTTACTCAGGGACACAGAATTGTTACTCAGGGACACAGAATTGTTACTGAGGGACACAGAATAGTTACTCAGGGACACAGAATCGTTACTCAGGGACACAGAATTGTTACTCAGGGACACAGAATCGTTACTCAGGGACACAGAATTGTTACTCAGGGACACAGAATCGTTACTGAGGGACACAGAATTGTTACTCAGGGACAGACACAGAATTGTTACTCAGGGACAGACACAGAATTGTTACTCAGGGACACAGAATTGTTACTCAGGGACACAGAATTGTTACTGAGGGACACAGAATCGTTACTCAGGGACACAGAATTGTTACTCAGGGACACAGAATTGTTACTCAGGGACAGACACAGAATCGTTACTCAGGGACACAGATTTGTTACTGAGGGACACAGAATCGTTACTCAGGGACACAGAATTGTTACTCAGGGACACAGAATTGTTACTGAGGGACACAGAATCGTTACTCAGGGACACAGAATTGTTACTCAGGGACACAGAATCGTTACTGAGGGACACAGAATCGTTACTGAGGGACACAGAATCGTTACTCAGGGACACAGAATCGTTACTCAGGGACACAGAATCGTTACTCAGGGACACAGAATTGTTACTCAGGGACACAGAGTCGTTACTGAGGGACACAGAATCGTTACTGAGGGACACAGAATTGTTACTCAGGGACACTGAATTGTTACTCAGGGACACAGAATCGTTACTGAGGGACACAGAATCGTTACTGAGGGACACAGAATTGTTACTCAGGGACACAGAATTGTTACTCAGGGACACAGAATTGTTACTCAGGGACAGACACAGAATCGTTACTCAGGGACACAGAATCGTTACTCAGGGACACAGAATCGTTACTGAGGGACACAGAATCGTTACTGAGGGACACAGAATTGTTACTCAGGGACACAGAATTGTTACTGAGGGACACAGAATCGTTACTCAGGGACACAGAATCGTTACTCAGGGACACAGAATTGTTACTCAGGGACACAGAATCGTTACTGAGGGACACAGAATCGTTACTGAGGGACACAGAATTGTTACTCAGGGACACAGAATTGTTACTGAGGGACACAGAATCGTTACTCAGGGACACAGAATTGTTACTCAGGGACACAGAATCGTTACTCAGGGACACAGAATTGTTACTCAGGGACACAGAATTGTTACGCAGGGACACAGAATCGTTACTCAGGGACACAGAATCGTTGAATTAAAGAGTATGTCAGACAACACGCAGAGGAGTGGCAGAGGAGGCAATGTTTCAGTTGCGAGCAGACGTGGCAGCAGAGGAAGGGGTCGAGGCAGCACTAGTCGCAGCCAGAGGCCAATGCTCCCGGTGTCATCCAGCGGTCGTGTCTCCACCGACCGACAACCCTGCCGTCATCGATTGGTTGGCTCGGCCGTCTTCCTCTTCCCAGGTCACCTCTGACACCTACAGCCAACGGTCGGTGGGTACGTCAGACACAACCGTTAGTTGGCATGGCCCGGGAGCAAGCCCACTGAAATCACGTGTCCTCTACCTGCCGCTGTCCTTTGGTGTTCCCTCACCAAGCGAAGTATCGCATGCTGTGGGCTCAGCCCCACTGTACAGTGAGGAAGAGCTAACAGAGGGCGGTCAGGAACGGGGGGAGACATCCGCCTCTTCAGCAGCCAGGCGAAGAAGTACTGGCGAGGAGAGTGGCTCGGTAGCCGGTCTAGAGACAGGTCTGTCTCCTGACCCACACGCAGCCGAGGGGGCTAGTAGTGAGGCGGAGACCCTAATTGATGATGATGAGGCTGATCGCACTTGGCAGCCTCGTCGTCATCAGGCTATTGCTTCCGCATCATCAGGAGAAGAGGGTGCCAGCTTGGCAGCGAGCAAAAACAGTCGGTGGGTTGCCCAGAAGGCAGCAGGGTTGCAGCAGTGTCAGTGGAGGCAAACGGCCACGGAGTAGAGCACCAGCTCCACTGCAGCCTACCACCACGGCCAGTAGTGGTGCTGGTGTGCACGGAGGAAGTAGCAGTCAGCCAGTGAGAGTAGCGGGGGCAAAGTTTCCTACTCGGCGGTGTGGCAATTTTTCGTCAAGCCGCCCGAGGAAGTAAACGTAGCCGTATGTCGACTATGTGGCCAGAAAGTCAAGCGTGGCCAGGGGGCCCATGTTGGGACTACAGCGTTGCGTCAGCATATGCAGCGTCGCCATTCGGTGGCCTGGGAAAACCGTGATAAAGATACGGCGGTTCTGCCCGCCCCAGCCCCCGCTCCATCACCCGCTCCGTTACTTGCTCCGTCACCCGACGTCAATCGCCCTCTATCCGCCAGTCAAGGCTCCAACACCTCTGCTGAGGGGAGTTGTTGCTCGTTGGCATCTTCCGCTCGTTCAGATGCTCCTTCTCCTGCTACTCCTCTTCACGCATTCCGTCAGCAGTCTTTCTTGGAATCCGTTTCCAAGAGACAACAGTTTGCGAGCACGCACCCGACGGTGCAGAAGCTGAACGTCCTCCTGTCCAAGTTGCTGGTGCTGCAGTCCCTCCCTTTCCAAGTGGTGGACTCAGCACCTTTCCGAGAAATGATGGCTTGTGCCGAGCCGCGGTGGAGAGTGCCAAGCCGGCATTTCTTCGCCAAAAAGGCAGTGCCAGCCCTGCATTCACATGTAGAAGAGATGGTGGGCCAGTCTTTGAGCATGTCGGTCTCTGCCAAAGTGCACGGCAGCGCCGACGTGTGGAGCTGTAACTACGGTCAGGGACAGTACATGTCATTTACGGCCCACTGGGTGTGAACGTGGTGCCGGCACAGCCGCACCAGCAACTTGGACAGGTCACGCCGCATTTGCCTCCACGTTTGCACGTCCTTGGTCCAGCAAAGATGTCCGCCTCTACCACCTCTTCTTCCGCCGTGTCCTCAGCCGCCACCCCGTGCCAAGTCCCATTACCCGACCGGCATATCACATGTGCAGGGCGCAACGGTGTCACGCTGTGCTGCACCTGGTATGCCTTGTATGTAGTCACACAGGGGAGGAACTTCTGAGTGTAATGAACAGAGAAATCGACAGATGGCTGTCTCCGCGCAAACTGAAAATCGGAACCATGTTGACCGACAATGGAATGAACATGGTGTCTGCTCTGCGTCAAGGAAGGTTGTGCCATGCGCCATGCATGGCTCACGTGTTCAATTGGTTGTCAAGCGGTTCCTAAAATCCACCATCCCACTGCAAGACATCCTTAAAATGTCACGTAAACTTTGCATGCATTTCAGCCATTCCTACACCGCAAAGCACACCCTCCTTGAGCTGCAGCGGCAGAACGGAATTCCACAGCATCGCCTGATCTGCGACGTTGCAACAAGGTGGAATTCAACCCTACATATGTTAGAATGCCTTTATGAACAGCGAAAGGCCATCACCGATTTCCTGATGTTACAAGCGGATAAAGGTACTCCCCTGTGTAACTTCGATGTCAGCCATTGGCAGCTCATGCATGACACCTGCCGCTTGCTCAGGCCCTTTGAGGAGGCCACGCTATTCGTGAGTCGGCAGGACTATGGGATGAACGACGTCATTCCTCTGTTGCACGTCCTGGAACAAATGCTGTTAACAATGGCTGGTCAGGGTGCGGTAGACGTGGCGCACAGATCTCAACGCCACATGACCCCTGTGGGGGCAGGACAGGAAGAAGAGGAGGAGGTAGAGGAGGACATTGGTGCTCAGGAATTATTGAGTGAAATGGGTGGTTTTTCCACTCAGCGGACAGGAGTGGAGGAGCAGGAGCATCTGGTAGAGGAGGAGGAGGAGACAGAGGACCCAGACGCACCGTGGCAGTATGCTGTGGAGATGGAGGCAGGGAGTCCCTCGCATTCCTTGGCACAAATGGCCCATAGCATGCTCAGTTGCTTGCGTAGCGACAGCCGAATAATAACCATCAGACAGAGGGATGACTTTTGGCTGTCCACCTTGTTGGACCCTCGCTACCGTTCAAAAATGGTGGCCTTTTTCACACCTGCTGAGAGGGAGGCCAAAATAACGTACTATAAAAACCACCTATGTAGTCAGTTGGTCTCTGCCTTTGTGCGCCAACGTCCATCCTCAGACACTGTGGGCCCTGTGCGCTCGCGTTCCGCTGCCATGGCAGCAGGGGAGGGGTGGGGTGGTAGGAGCAGTGGCAGCTCCACCAGCAGCGACTGCCTCAGTCTGCAGTCGATGATGAGTAGCTTTCTTCACCAGCGCAGTGAGGAAACTACTAACCAGCCGCAGCAGCAGCAGCATCAGGTGGACCTGGAGCAGGACCTCAAACAACAGGCTTGGGGCCTACTTGGACAGCACCCTGCCAACCGAGGTAGACAATCCCCTTGACTACTGGGCAACGAAACTTGACCTTTGGCCCCAACTAGCTGAATTTGCCCTTGAAAGGCTGTCATGCCCGGCCAGTAGCGTGGCATCGGAGCGCGTGTTTAGTGCGGCAGGAGGTATTGTAACACCGCGGAGGACACGACTGTCCACCAAAGTGTGGAGAGACTCACGTTTGTGAAAATGAATCAGGCGTGGATTAGTCTGGATTTCAAACCACCAGTTCCTGACACAACTGACTAAATCCGCATGAATCATGCCCCAAACATGTTATTATTTTTAACATAGGCCTCTGTATGGCCTTCAATTTAAGCTGCTTACGCTTCGCCACTCTGCCATGGCCCCTGTACCGCCTCCTCTTGCTGCTGCCAGGTCCAGAGTGTGTCATGGGTCCCTGTACGGCCTCCCATTGCTGCTGTCTCCATCGCCACACTCTGCCATGTGCCACTTTCAGGTCTCCTCACACTGCTGGTGGGTTCCATTTTGTCATAGGGTGCTGGCAGATTACGGGCCTCCCATTGCTGCTGCCAGGCCCGTAATCTGCCATGGGCCCCCGTACCGACTCCTCATGCTGCTGCCAGGCCCGTAATCTGTCATGGGCCCCTGTACCACCTCCTCATGCTGCTGCCAGGTCCAGAGTGTGTCATGGGTCCCTGTACGGCCTCCCATTGCTGCTGCCAGGCCCGTAATCTGCCATGGGCCCCCGTACCGACTCCTCATGCTGCTGCCAGGCCCGTAATCTGTCATGGGCCCCTGTACCGCCTCCTCATGCTGCTGCCAGGTCCAGAGTGTGTCATGGGTCCCTGTACGGCCTCCCATTGCTGCTGTCTCCATCGCCACACTCTGCCATGTGCCACTTTCAGGTCTCCTCACACTGCTGGTGGGTTCCATTTTGTCATAGGGTGCTGTATGGCCTCCCATTGCTGCTGCCTCCACCGCCACACTGTGGCTCCACACTCTGGTTTTGGCCCCGTGACTGCCCAAATGAGTGAAAGTGTGCGGTGATTCTAAGATCGACGGCACTCATCTGCATGTCATACTGACTGACAGTATTATTTCTCTTCCCCAGCAGACTCCAAGGGCATTTAAAATTAAAGGTACAGTGTTCTGCACTAATATAAAGGCTCTCTGAAGCCTAGAAACACCCTTTTTAAAAGTTAAATTCGCAGCGAATATATTCGACTCGAATCGAATTTATTCCGCGAATTCGGCGAATCAGCCGAATCGAATTTTTGAATACTTCGCTCATCTCTAATTATAAGATCAAGGAGTTTATTAATTGTTTTACAACGTGATTGATATATACAGTATCTCACACAAGTGTGTACACCCCTCACATTTTTGTAAATATTTGATTCTATCTTTTCATGTGACAACACTGAGGAAATGTCACTTTGCTACAATGTAAAGTAGTGAGTGTACAGCTTATATAACATGTAAATTTGCTGTCCCCTCAAAATAACTCAACACACAGCCATTAATGTCTAAACCGCTGGCAACAAAAGTGAGTACACCCCTAAGTGACAATGTCCAAATTGGGCCCAATTAGCCATTTTCCCTCCCTGGTGTCATGTGACTCATTAGTGTTACAAAGTCTCAGGTGTGAATGGGCAGCAGGTGTGTTAAATTTGATGTTATCGCTCTCACTCTCTTATATACTGGTCACTGGAAGTTCAACATGGCACCTCATGGCAAAGAACTCTCTGAGGATCTGAAAAAAAGAATTGTTGCTCTACATAAAGATAGCCTAGGCTATAAGAAGATTGCCCAGACCTTGAAACTGAGTTGCAGCACGGTAGACAAGACCATACAGTGGTTGCTGAAGACAAGCAGACTAAGGACATGGATTACTGGAACCATGTCCTGTGGTCAGATGAGACCAAGATTTGGTTGAGATGGTGTCAAGCATGTGTGGCGGCAACCAGGTGGGAGGAGTACAAAGACAAGTGTGTCTTGCCTACAGTCAAGCATGGTGGTGGGAGTGTCATGGTCTGGGGCTGCATGAGTGCTGCCGGCACTGGGGAGCTACAGTTCATTGAGGGAATCATGAATGCCAATATGTACTGTGACATACTGAAACAGAGCATGATCCCCTCCCTTCAGGGACTGGTCAGTATTCCAACATGATAACGACCCCAAACACACCTCCAAGATGACCACTGCCTTGCTCAAGAAGCTGATGGTAAAGTTGATGGACTGGCCAAGCATGTCTCCAGACCTAAACCCTATTGAGCATCTGTGGGGCATCCTCAAATGGAAGATGGAAGAGCGCAAGGTCTCTAACATCCACCAGCTCCGTGATGTCATCATGGACGAGTGGAAGAGGACTCCAGTGGCAACCTGTGAAGCTCTGGAGAACTCCATGCCCAAGAGGGTTAAGGCAGTGCTGGAAAATAATGGTGGCCACACAAAATATTGACACTTTGGGCCCAATTTGGACATTTTTACTTAGGGGTGTACTCACTTTTGTTGCCATCGGTTTAGACATTAATGGCTGTGTGTTGAGTTATTTTGAGGGGACAGTAAATTTACACTGTTATACAAGCTGTACATTCACTACGTCACATTGTAGCAAAGTGTCATTTCTTCAGTGTTGTCACATGAAAAGATAGAATCAAATATTTACAAAAATGTGAGGTGTGGACTCACTCCTGGGAGATACTGTATGCTGGAATGCCCATGCAAAAAGTATTATATTGGAATGACCAAGCGACCGCTCTGAATACGCATTGGTGAACACATCTGCAGCATTAAAAATATAAAAAATAAAAAAATAGAGGAGGAAAGTCCCTCTGGCGACACATTTTGCAGCGTGCCATGATGGAAATCCAAATGGCTGAAATGTGAAGGGAATCTTTGTGCTTCATTTATCACAAAGACATGGGGCTTTAATACAATCCTCCTGCAGAAATAGAAGATGTGGATTTTCAAACTTGGTACCTTAGTCCCACAGGGCCTGAATGTAGAATTTAATCTACAGGTTTTCTCAGAACCTTAAATTCCTATGGAGTGCTAAGAAACTGGACTAATCCTCCTTAAAGGTAAATTTGTAGACTGTGGAAATTATCTCTATTTTATTTCTATCTCTTTCTTTTGTATATATCCTTCTTGGCTTTGGTTTTCAGTTATCATATTTTTTACCCCCAGCCAAAACATCTATTGCTTTACGAAATACATAGTCGTCCCTTTAACAGGAGATGTAAGATTATATATATTTTCTATTTATGAATCTCCAATAGATGATTTCAAATTGTGCAGCTCGGTTCTTACCTTGGCCCAATACACTGTGCAGTGACTAGTGTGAGAGTATGTGTGATTAGGCGGATGGGGGATATCTTGTGGTTAAGTGGGTTATTTACAGTCCACAGGGTATAAATACATTGGGTATACTGGTCCTGCCTATCCCTGAAGAAACCCAAGCTCATTGGGCGAAACATGTAGGATTCCACGTCCTCACGTATTTGACGTACATGACATCACCACGCACAGCGGCAGTTTTGCTTAGACCAGGGGTCTCCAAACTTTCTAAACAGAGGGCTAATTCACTGTCCTTCAAACTTTAGGAGGGCCAGAATGTGACCAGAGGGAGCAGAACATGGTATTAGTGGGGAATAGTTTCCCATTATTGGTATCAGTGGGAGGAATAGTGCCCCATCATTGGTGTCAGTGGGAGGAATAGAACCCCATTGTTGGTATCAGTGGGAGGAATAGTTTCCCATTATTGGTATCAGTGGGAGGAATAGTGCCCCATCATTGGTGTCAGTGGGATGAATAGAACCCCATTGTTGGTATCAGTGGGAGGAATAGTGCCTCATCATAGGCTGTGATGTTTTTATCATGGATTTAGCTTCAATAAACTTTTTGGGATTTTGAACTCTCCATACTTAGATGTGCCACCATCCACTTGATATATTGATGTTTCTCCAGTCAGCAACCGTATGTAATCATTTTGGTAACAGGTATTGTGTGGACCAACCTAGAGCGGTGCTTCACTTTTGCTCATTTCAGAAAGACTGCATCACGTAGGAATCTTGAGAATTATGAAATTAACTTTTAATCAGTATAACTTATTTAATCACATAATGCTTATGACACGTTTCATGAGATCAAAAGGGCCAAACGTGTTTGCTGCTGATTTTTTCACTCAGTGTCCACTGCATCTCACTGCAGTGCCCAACAATAGTCAGTCAGCATCAATCTGTGCATCTCAATGTCATGCACCTGCACACATTGTTTAAATTTTGGTTAAAGTGGTTCATTTTATTCTGCTATGAATCAATTTTATCATTAAATACCTTGAAACCTTGTACCTTTTTTGGCACTCTCATTGGACTAAATTCGGGAATTCCAAACTCTGGGTTCATTTTCTGTTTCTAAGGGCTGTCCTTGTTTTGTAGAGCAATGCAAAACTGGAGCCAGTGTGCCCAGTGAAAATTTCAGTGACCCTTAGAAAACCTGAATCCAGTGCCCCCTGTGTTCTTGGGTTTGAATTTCTTGTGGCATAACCTCCTAGCAGGAGTTGCATGTTGAGATGTACTGTATGTTTTCAGATGTTGGGAACCTGGGTCTCAATGTTCTGCATATGTGCAGCCTCAAAATCATGAGTCTGGGTTAATAGAAACTATAGGGAGTGTATAGTGAACCTGAGGAGTAGCTTTCCCAATTAATGCCAGGTTCAAGACTCAAATTTCTAAGCTGCAAATATTACCTACCTATTGAGATAAAGGATTATTTTGCACTTCAGTTATCCACAATCTGTTTGAAAAAGAGCCTGGAAGGTGGGAACAGTTCTCCATATGTGGTGGACCTGTCCTAAGATACTTCGCTTTTGGATAGGGGTCCACTCTCTTATACATTCAGTGACTATGGTCAATGTCCCCAAACATGCTTGGACAGCGTTATTGAATGCCCCAGTGGCTGATATCCCAAGACACTCACAGACTTTGATCCATTTTATGTTCCTAGCAGCTGAGATCACCATAGCGACAGCTTGAAAATGTCCAGTGACTGATCTGGCCTTGATGAAGCGTAAATTGACATGGATCATGCTTAATGAAAAAATTCTGTGTGTTCTCTGAGATAAACAAACTATCTTTGAAAAGGTGCGGAACCCTTGGCTCTCTTATCTACAGGTTCTGGACATCTAGGGGTGGCCCCAAGACCTGTTGCCATTGGATCCCAGGATGGATGTATCTTTACACTTCTCTTTTCTTTCTCTTTAACGACTTTTCTTTTTCTCCACTCCTTACTAATTTTTTCTATGTTTAAAGTATGTTGATTTCCGTTGTTGAGACTTTGGTCTCTTCTGCCCTTCACACATTCGTTCAACACAAGTGATACCTTTATGCCATGAGGTTGAGGTGATCCCATGATCTTATGCCAAGCAGCAAACAATTACCTGCAGAAACCTTCACAACTTGAACCCTGCTCCTTTCCACTCTGCAACTGACTAACTCTATGACAGAATCTCTCCCCTGTCCTGCCCTCACCTGGCCACTACTGTCTACAACAGTTTGCTTTCATACACACACTAGACTCACTTGCTCCTCTAACACAAAGCATCAGGCCCCGACCATTACAATCTTGACAGACTGACGACACCAGAAATCTTAAACGACATAGTCGTTTTCTCCTTGGGCCCCTACTCTTCTCCATCTACACTCCCTTGGTCATTTGATAAACTCCCATGGCTTTAAGTACCATCTCTATGCTGATGACACACAAATCTATCTTTCTACCCCTCCCCTCACCCCTTCAGTCTCCTCTCGCATTACTAACCTAGTAAGCGAACATATCGGCATGGATGTCACTCCACTTCCTCAAACTCAATCTTTCCAAAACTGAGCTCTTAGTATTCCCCCAGCCCGTGCCCCCTCCCCTGACTTCTCCATCAAGATCAATAACACAATCATCAGTCCCTCCCCTCATGCCAGGGTACTAGGTGTAATCCTAGACTCCCACCTGTCCTTTCACCACCAAATGCAATCGCTGTCCAAATCTTGTAGACTTCACCTCTGCAACATCTCCAAGATACGCCCGTTCCTAACCTCGGAAACCACTAAGCAACTTATCCACTCCCTTGTTATATCTCGCCTTGACTATTGTAACTCCCTCCTCATTGGCCTACCTCATCACAGGCTATCTCCTCTTCAATCTATCATGAATGCTGCTGCCAGACTCATCCACCTTACTAACCGTTCCGTCTGCCATCCCTCCCTGCCAATCCCTCCACTGGCTTCCCATTGCCCGAAGGATAAAATACAAAACATTAACAATAACAATAACATATAAAGCCATTTATAACTCTGCCCCAAATTACATCAGCAATCTTGTCTCCAAATATCACCCAAATTGTACTCTCCGTTCCTCACATGACCTCCTGCTCTCTAGCTCCCTTGTCTCCTCCTCCCATGCTCGTCTTCAGGACTTCTCCAGAGCTTCCCCCATCCTCTGTAACTCTCTACCCCAATTTATCAGACTATCGCCTACTCTGCTCACTTTTAGGTGAACTTTGAAAACCTATCTCTTCAGGGAAGCCTATCCTGCCCTCAGCTAATAATGGAATCTTCTACTCTTCCTACCAGTCCATCACCCACAGTTACTACCTTTTGTACCACTAGCCCCTCCCTCCTAGATTGTAAGCTCCAAGGAGCAGGGCCCTCCTATCCCTCTTGTATTGAACTGTATTGTTGCTGTATTGTCTCCCTTTATATTGTAAAGCGCTGAGCAAACTGTTGGTATTATCTATGTATGCCCACAGAGGCTAACCCAGGCTCACCTAATGGAGCTCAGAATTATACTCCTGGGTTGACCCGCTATGTTGCCTATGCTCATCCCATGGCTAATGCCCTGGGGTCCTTCTGGTAATGTTCTCAGCAACTGTAACTGCTGTTTATTTTTTTTTGTATTGAATATACCGTAATACATATTCTATTAGTATGTATAATTTGTTTTTCAATGGTAAACCAACTTAAAAACCTTTGAAAAGAAAAAGAGCCTGGAACATGGACTCCCTAACCCATGAATCTCCAGTCCTTGAATCCATTTAGGTCAAGGTTCTTCAAACTATGGACTGCTACAATATGTTTTTCAGTTGGCTGCAAACCCAACTGGTTGGCAGGAGGTGGATGTGTTGGTCTGTGTATTCCAACATTGAGAGCAGTATATGCACTGTCAGCCTCAGTAGAGGATATTCCCACCCCCCACTCTACCACCCCTGGTTGGTTGCTAGGGCCACCAGCATCCTAGCAACCAATTATGTGATTGTCCCACCCCCTGTATTTACATTAGGACCATTAGGACCAGACTTCGTCTGTCCAGACCTACTCTACCTCCCAGTTTCTGCCCTGCTGCTCTGCTACTGGAACGGTAAGGGATGACTCTGCTGGGTACTCTCAAGGGGAAAGAGGGGACTCTATTGGGAATTCTTGGATGTAAGCCTGCAGGGGACCTTCAGGGCAATACTGGGTGTAGGAAGGGCCTCTGATGGGCAGTCGTAGATGTAAGGAGGGAATCTGCTGGGCAGTCCTGTATGTAAGGGAAATTTCTGCTGGGCACTCCTGAGTATAGGAAAGGACTCTGTTGGGAAATCCTAGATGTAAGAGGGACATTTGCTGGGCAGTCCTGGGTGTAAGAAGGGACTCTGCTGAGCACTTCTAAATGGAAGGGGAGACCCTGCATTAATTTTTTATAAAAAACTGGTCTTTTTCGACCTGCGAAAATTTGTAAAATGTATGACGTGGCCCTTTGGAGACCCCTGATTTGGGTAAAGGTGTTGATCTTCCTCCAGTTCACTACCACTGAGTATACAAATAAAGTAGTTAGTATAGTGTTAAGGCTTAGTTTATGGCCAAACCCTTTTATATATAAGGGCTGGTATTATGTATTTGAGTTGTCACTAGGTATTAGGAGTTGGTTAAAGTCCAACTCTGGGCTCAGTTCCCCTGCCAATGGATCATGGATTTTTATTATAATTACCTTTTTATGAAATCTACAGGCTAGCCCAGGGTTGTCTTTCTCTTTTGCTTTCTCCTGGGAATGGGCACTAATATCATGCTAATTACACAAATTAAGTACTTACACCTACAGGACTTGTCCCTCCCCCAGCTGGCAAAAGGACAGCAGATAGAGAAGCAGAAGACTGATTAGCTTATCTTTCTTTCTCTCTGCTCTCTCCTCCTATTGGCATGTTCTTGTGAGCACATGAGCTTAACAGATTGGTCGCCTGTTCTGCTTCTCCCTCTCCCAGGCTAAACTGTTCTCTGCAAGGGATTGCAGGAGGCTGTTAAAGTTGAGCTCCACTCAAAAGCGGAAGTTCCGCTTTAAGGACTGCTCCCCCACTCCCCATTAAGGATTGGCACCTTTGGGGGGCGGGGGGAGCGGGTACCCGAATTTGACAGATACTGGCTCCCAATTGCGGTCAGACCGCCTAGGCGTTTGGAAACGGAAGGTGTCCTCCCTCCTTCCCTCCCCGTAGTCTTCTGGAACACGTGACAGGTCCCAGAAGACTACAGGACCATTCAGGAAGCGCAGTGCTACTCACGCATGCTCAGTGGGCACCCGGCTGTGAAGCCTCAAGCAGTCACAGCCGGGAGCCCACACTGAGGATGCCGGCCTCAAGGAATCCAGGATGGCTGGTGAAACGGGCTGCGGGGGACACACCGCGGGACCGAGGGACAGGTAAGTGGCTGTTCTTTAAAAGTCAACAGCTACAGTTTTTGTAGATGCTAACTTTTATTTTTTGACAGGATGAGTGGAACTCCGCTTTAACTGTCAAAGCTTGGGTATTAAAGAACCTTTACAACATATGGATGGGATATTAACTTGTTTTCAGAGATGAAAAAATAGCAGCACCAAGCTGTAATAGCCTAAATTTGCTGTACTTCCTGAATGCCACTACAGGTGAAACTCAAAAAATTAGAATATTGTGCAAAAGTTCATTTATTTCAGTAATGCAACTTAAAAGGTGAAACTAATATATGAGACTCATTACATGCAAAGCAAGATAGTTCAAGCCGTGATTTGTCATCATTGTGATGATTATGGCTTACAGCTCATGAAAACCCCAATCCACAATCTCAGAAAATGAGAATATTACATGCAATCAATAAAACAAGGATTGTACATAGAACAATATCGGACCTCTGAAAAGTATAAGCATGCATATGTACTCAGTACTTGGTTTGGGCCCCTTTTGCAGCAATTACTTCCTCAATGCGGCGTGGCATGGAAGCTATCAGCCTGTGGCACTGCTGAGGTGTTATGGAAGACCAGGATGCTTCAATAGCGGCCTTCAGCTCTTCTGCATTGTTCGGTCTCATGTCTCTCATCTTTCTCTTGGCAATGCCCCATAGATTCTCTATGGGGTTCAGGTCAGGCGAGTTTGCTGGCCAATCAAGCACAGTAATCCCACGGTCATTGAACCAGGTTTTGGTGCTTTTGGCAGTGTGGGCAGGTGCCAAGTCCTGCTGGAAAATGAAGTCAGCATCCCCATAAAGCTCGTCTGTGAAAGGAAGCATGAAGTGCTCCAAAATCACCTGGTAGACCGCTGCGTTGACCCTGGACTTAATGAAGCACAGTGGACCAACACCAGCAGATGACTTGGCTCCCCAAATCAACACAGACTGTGGAATCTTTACACTGGACTTCAAGCATCTTGCAGTGTGTGCCTCTCCATTCTTCCTCCATATTCTGGGTCCTTGGTTTCCAAATGAGATGCAAAAACTGCTCTCATCACAAAAGAGGAGTTTGGACCACTGAGCAACAGACCAGGTCTGTTTTTCTTTAGCCCAGGTAAGACGTTTTTGACGTTGTTTGTTGTTCAGGAGTGGCTTGACAAGAGGAATACGACATTTGAAGCCCATGTCCAGGATCCATCTGTGTGTGATGGCTCTTGATGCACTGACTCCAACCTATGTCCACTCCTTGTGAAAGTCCCCAACACTTTTGAATGGCCTTTTCCTGACAATTCTCTCCAGGCTGCGGTCATCCCTGCTGCTTGTGCGCCTTTTTCTTCCACATTTTTCCCTTCCACATAACTTTTTATTAATGTGCTTTGATACAGCACTTTGGGAACATCCAGCTTCTTTTGCAATTACCTTTTGAGGCTTTCCCTCCTTATGGAGGGTGTCAATGATGGTTTTCTGCACAACTGTCAGGTCAGCAGTCTTTCCCATGATTCTGATTCCTACTGAACCAGACTGAGAGACCATTTAAAGACTCTGGAACAATTTGCAGGTGATATGGCTTAATTAGCTGATTAGAGTGGGACACTTTGAGCCGAGAATATTGCACCTTTTCACAATATTCTCATTTTCTGAGATTGTGGATTTGGGGTTTTCATGAGCTGTAAGCCATAATCATCACAATTATGACAAATCACGGCTTGAACTATCTTGCTTTGCATGTAATGAGTTTATCTCATATATTAGTTTCACCTTTTAAGTTGCATTACTAAAATAAATGAACTTTTGCATGATATTCTAATTTTTTGAGTTTCACCTGTAAATAGCATTTGGCTGGGATCAATATAGCAAATCAATTCAGCCACTGAATTTGCAACCTTCCCTTATAATAGGTATGCCAGTTTATATACCTGGTGTGCTACCTGGCTCTGCTCTTACTGACTTGCATTTGATCAGCTTCCTGTAGATTTTGCATTCCCGAAGACCTGGAGGGAATGCAAAACTTGCCTAATGGAAACCCCCCACCTTAAAGTAGACCTTCACCCAGGGGCGGACTGACCATTTGGACACTTGGGCACTGCCCGAGGGCCTGGGGTCAGTAGGGGGCCCCATGAGATGCCCCTGGTACCTTTTTCATAGGCTTTTTTGAGTTTGGGCAAGGACACAGGGGCCCCATGATCCCCTATTGCCCGGGGGCCCCATGAGTTGTCAGTCCACCCCTGCCTTCACCTATGCATAGCACTTTCTTTCTTCTACCTTCTCCCCCTTCCCTCTTAAGCATGATGAGGGATTATGACGCCATTTGCATTTTTATTCTGCCCAGCAAAAAAAAAAATTACACTTTAAAAAAAAAAAGAGCTGAAGAAAATGCAAAATGGGGTAAAACGTGTGTAGAAAATGGCAAAACAAACTGCGAAAAGCACTGCAAAACGGACAAAAAGCAAACTGCATAGGTGTGAACGGAGCTTAAGAAAATTTAAACATTCTTGGGACAAACATAGATCTATGCTTATCCAAAACAGTAAAAAAAGAAAAAAAAAGTTAAAAGGGGCAAACTTAATGGACCACTTAGTCTTTTTTCTTATATCACTTTTCTATGCGTGTATTTTTTATTTACCTTTTAGTATTTCCCTGGCATTAGACATAAGCTGAGAAGAAAACAGATGTTTTAATCTTTCTCCTAAAACCACTCACCTACCCATTTACAGCTCTTTTGCATTCTTTCATTATGCAGAAAAAAAAAAAATATATATATATATGTATATATATATATATATATTAGGAGAATTTTGATAAAAGGGAAAAAAAATTAATTAAATTTCTTTGTTTCCCCCTGGTAATATGTCTCACAAGAATTGGATTAAATACCATACATTGTAAACAACATCACTGCTTAGTTAAATAAAAGAAAGCCTTAAAAATTCATATTAGCGGTATTACATTGTAACAGAATGCAGTTACTGTGGGCAGAGTAGGAACTAGTGAAGTGATTTTGGCCCAAATGTTTCTGTTGCAAATTTTGTTAAAGGTTGATCATTCTTTTTAGTGGATGTTTTGGGATAGGCAATATACATACATTTTATATATATATATATATATATATATATATATATATATATATATATAAAAATTGTGTGTGTGTATATATATATTTTTTTTTTTTTTTAATTTTTTCTTTGTTTATATATATATATATATATATATATATATATATATTTTTGAGAGAGAGAGAGAGAGAGTAGAAAATTAGTGAAGTGATTTTGGCCAAAACTGTTCTTTTGCATATTTAGCAGTTTTGCCATTTTGTTAAAGTTTGTTAATTTTTTTTTCAGTGGATGTTTTGGGATAGGCAATATGTATATATGTACATATGTGTGTGCGTATATATATATTTTTTTATTTTTAGTTTAGCCATTTGCAAAATTTTGTTAACTTTTTTGTTCATTTTTTTTAGTGGATGCTTTGGGATAGGCAATATATTTACAGCTTTTTTACATTCTTTCATTATGCAGAAAAAAAAAATAATATATATATATTTTTTTTTTTTTTTGACATTTTGATAAAAGGGAAAAAATTAAATTACATTTATTTGTTTTTTGTTCATTTTTTTTTTTGGATGCGTTGGGATAGGCAATATATTTACTGCTTTTTTACATTCTTTCATTATGCAGAAAAAAAAAATATATATATATTTATATATATATTTTTTTTTTTTTTTTTTTTTTTCGGAAATTTTGATAAAAGGGAAAAAATGTAATTACATTTATTTGTTCCTCCTGGTATATTTATTTATTTATGTGTGTGTGTGTGTGTATATATATATACAAAACTTTTTTGTTAAAGTTTGGTCTTTTTTTTTTTAGTGGATGTTTTGGGATAGGTAATATATATATATATATATATATATATATATATATATATATATATATATATATATATAATATATTTGTGTGTGTAATTTTTTTTTTTTTTTTATGCTTGAAAAGAACAAAAAGAAATTTAAAAATTGGCAACCGTACACACAACATCTTCTTAATTGCCTTATTTTCCTATTTGACAAGCATTTACTGTACTTTTAATACATATTTCAATGGCATTAAGAATAAGCTGAGATCAAAACTTTTAAATCATTCTCTAAAAAACACTCACCTACCCATCTACAGCTTTCTTACATTCTTTCATTATGAAAAAAAAAAAAAAAAACGATTTTTTTTCCGATAGCAGCATTTTGAGAAAAGGGAAAAATGTAATTAAGTTTCTTTGTTCCCCCCTGGTAATATGTCTCACAAGAATTGGATTAAATAGCATACATTGTCAACAACATCACTGCTTAGCTAAATAAAAGAACCCATAAAATTGTACATTAGAGATTTTATATTGTAGGAGATTGCAGTTACTATGAGCTGCGTAGAGATCCGTGGGCTGATTTCGGCCCAATTTATATTGTCTCAAATGTATCAATTTTGCCCTTTTTTTCAAAATTTTGCTGAAAGAGAAATCCTGTCTCACCCATTGAGCTCGTTGAGAAAATTGTTTTTTTTTTTAATTTTTTTTTTAGAGTTTGTAAAGCTGGCCATATATGGATTGAATTTGGCTGGTTCAGCAGGGTCCCCTCGAATTTCAATCCACGTGTGGCCACTGTGCTTGAACAGAAGTCGATCTACTGATTGATTTCTGTTCAACTACCCTGTCAGATTTTAACCAACTCGATCTACGCTGCAGGATATAGTCTGCACTACCGATCTGTGCATTCTGGTGACAGTGAGATCTTCCACTGTAAGAATACAAAGACACAGAAGGGAGAATTTTCCCCCTTACACCTCAAATGTGTGGATGGGGGAATTGGCAAGTGCAGTACAGCCAGGAGTTGTTTTTTGAAGTAAGAGATAATCAAAGGCAAACATGTTTGAACACTTTTTGGCTAAACTCTTAGCTTGGCTTGTATGTGCCCCCCATTGAATCACCCCTCAACCTAACGTGCATACGTAACATTTGTCATGGGCAGGGACGGACTGACCATTCGGGTACTTAAGCACTGCCCGAGGTCAGTAGGGGGCCCCATGAGATGCCCCTGGTACCTTTCATAGGCTTTTTTGGGTGTGGTTTGAGTGTGGGCGAGGACACAGAGGCCCCATGATCCCCTATTGCCCGGGGGCCCCATGAGTTGTCAGTCCACCCCTGGTCATGGGTCTACAGTCCAGTTGTGTGCCTTCACAGGTCCTATTCATCAACTTCGTGGAATGGATTCTGAGTGTTGCAGAGAGTGGCTCCAAGTAATAACTTGCCACTACTCTATGTTGGATTTTCACATGAGTGCAGGGTTTGGGGGGCAGGTTCTTGATGTCCTGGTTCAGGCTTTTTTTTTTTTTTTAAATGCTGAGAATTGATTTTTTTTTTTTTTAGACTTGGAGGAGGAAACAGTAGAGGCCTGGTCTGCAGAGCCTTCCAGCCCAATCTTAAGCTGAACCCACAGCAATTACCCAGGCTCACATGACTACTGGGAGCAGGGGCGGACTGACCATTTGGAAACTTGGGCACTGCTCGAGGGCCAGGGCTCAGTAGGGGGCCCCATGAGATGCCCCTGGTACCTTTTTCATAGGCTTTTTTTAGTTTGGGCATGGACACAGGGGCCCCATGATCCCCTTTTGCCCGGGGGCCCCATGAGTTGCCAGTCCGCCCCTGCTACTGGGAGTCAACATAAATTTACCTAACCGTACACTATAGCGTGCAACTATAGATGGCAACCTGGCAAGACGGGTGAGGTGGAGACCATACCAATGACTGGTTTCTTTGGTTTCATTACTAAGTATCAAAGTGGCTTGTTGCCTACTGCCTAAGAGACTTACATAGTTACATAGTTAGTCTGGCTGAAAAAAGACAAAAGTCCATTTTAGTTCAACCATTAAAAAAAAAAAAGTTATAAGCCTACACCCACAGTTGATCCAGAGGAAGGCAAAAAACCCAGCAAAGCATGATCCAATTTGCTCCTGCAGGGGAAGAAATTCCTTCCTGATCCCCCGAGAGGCAATCGGATATTCCCTGGATCAACTTTACCTATAAATGTTATATCCAGTTATATTCTGTGTATCTAAGAAAGAATCCCGGACTTTTTTTTTAAAGCAATCCACTGAGCTGGCCAGAACCAACTCTTAAGGTGGTTTCTGGCCAGCTCAGTGGATTACTTTAAAACAGGAGGACTTGGAGGAGTGTGGAGAAGGCTTCGGGAGGTCTACCACACAGGTCCCTCAGGAAGTTGTCTGGGGAAGTGACAAGCTCCCTAGCATGTTGATGGCACTTTAGGGGGCCAGCATTATTTTTTTTTATGCCCCCTGTAGGCAGGTGCCTACTGTTGGGGTGTATACTACCTCCTGTTCCTGGTTTGCACTGTGTTGTAATACATCCTATGTTAGTGAGTTTTTATTTGATAGGCTGCCCAGGAAGTTAGGAAAGGGTTACGTCTAGCTCATTCCCAGGTGTTCACGGCTCTTCCCCCTTGTGGAGGGATATAAATACAAGGGGAGCAGTCTCTCAGGGCTCTCCCCCTTCCACATGGGAAAAGATAGGAAGGAATGCCATGGAATTGTAAACCTGTGGCCTCTCTTTTGAAATTTGAGTTTTTGAAGATGTTTATACTTTTTCTATTTTATTCTATTTGATTGCTTTTGCCATTCTATTCTATTATTTTTTTATTCTGTTTCTTTATTTTTCTATTCTATTCTGTTCTTTTCTATTCCATTTTTTTCTATTCTATTATTTTCTATTCTATTCTAATCTATTCTTTTCTATTCTGTTTCCTTTATTTTCTATTGTATTCGATTCTTTTCTATTCTCTTTTTTTTATTTTATTTTTTTTTATCATATTCTAATCTATTCTATTCTTTTCTATTCTATTTCTTTTTTTTATTCTTTTCTATTCTGTTCCTTTATTTTCTATTCTATTCTTTTTTATTCTATTATTTTCTATTCTCTTTTTTCTATCCTATTATTTTCTATACTATTCTAAGCTATTCTATTCTTTTCTATTTCTTTTTTTTTTTTTTCTATTTCTGTTCATTTCTTTCCTCTTTTTTTTCTATTCTATTTTCTATCCTATTCTAATCTAGTCTTTTTCTTTTTATTTATTTTTTCTGTTCTTTCCTATTCTCTTTTTTCTTTATTCTATTATTTTTTTTATCCTATTCTAATCTATTCTATTCTTTTCTATTCTATTTCGTATTTTCTTTGTTTTCTTTTTATTCTGTTCTTTTCTATTCTATTCTTTTCTATTTTATTATTTTTTTTTTTTTTTTTTTTCTATTCTATTTCTTTATATTCTATTTTTTTCTATTCTATTCTATTCTTTTTCTTTTCTAACCTTTTTTTCTGTTCTATTATTTTCTATTCTATTTTTTTCTAAATTCGAATTTTGAAAGACAACAATATTCTTTTTTTTTATTGAAGGAATTATTTTTTTTTTTTTCAACAAAACTTAACAAACCAATCCAAAGCACACAAAAAAGAAAAGAAAAATTAAATAAATACAGAAAAACAAAAACTTAACCCATAAAGTCTAATATATACTGTAACTTCTCAAATAGTTTAGTCTTACTCCTACAATCAGGGGCGGACTGGCCATTTGGGAACTCGGGCACTGCTCGAGGGCCCAGAATCAGTAGGGGGCCCCATGAGATGCCCCTGGTACCTTTCATTGGCTTTTTCATAGGCTTTTTTGGGTGTGGGCAAGGACACAGGGGCCCCATGATCCCCTATTGCCCGGGGGTCCCATGAGTTGTCAGTCCACCCCTGCCTACAATAACATAGTGAAGTCAAATTCACTGAATGGTATCAGTTAAGCTGAAATTGATCACTAAAAGCCATTCTTACTGAAAACAGCCAATAGAACGGTGAGGTATAACAAGTGTATGTCAATTGGTCAACCCACAAGAATACAGACTGGGAGCCAGCCCTCTGCTGTGCCCAGGGGCGGACTGACCATTTGGAAACTCGGGCATGGCCCGAGGGCCCAGGGTCAGTAGGGGGCTCCATGAGATGCCCCTGGTACCATTTTTCATAGGCTTTTTTGAGTTTGGGCAAGGACACAGGGGCCCCATGATCTCCTATTGCCCGGGGGGCCCCATGAGTTTGTCAGTCCGCCTCTGGCTGTGCCTGCAGGTAAGGGCCAGTGTCACCCGCAATGATGACCTGTCTACCATTTAGCTTGGTATTTAATCTGTCATCACAGTGGCACATTCCTCATCTAAGCCCGGATTCACATACGTGCAGCTCCATATATCGCATGTGATTCGCACAGGAACCGCACCGCTAGGGGCGGACTGACAACTCATGGGGTCCCCGGGCAATAGGGGATCATGGGGCCCCTGTGTCCTTGCCCAAACTCAAAAAAGCCTATGAAAAAGGTACCAGGGGCATCTCATGGGGCCCCCTACTGACCCCGGGCCCTCGGGCAGTGCCTGAGTTTCCAAATGGTCAGTCCGCCCCTGCGCACCGCATTCATGTGCAAATTACATACGATTTGTGTACGGTGTGATTGGAGCCGTCCATTATGTATTCATTATGCCTCTATTCTCACCGCACCCGCACCACAAACGTGCAGGACCCTTTTTTTGGTCCACACTGGAATCAGATCACATGTGTATTCACACCTATGCAATCTGATTCTGCACATCGCACCGCGTTTTGCAGAGCGCTTTCAGGGTGTTGTTAACATAACACACACACACCCGCAGCGGTTCGCATGAACGGGGTGCGGTTCTGATGCGGTTTGGAATTCGCACTGAAAACGCTGTAAATTCTGTACCACATCAGTGTGAACCAGGGCTAAAGCTAGTTAGCGTCTGATCTGTTTCGGCAGTTCTTTTTGTGGTGCGTTTTGGTTTTTTTTTTTTTTTTTTTTTTTTTTGCCTAGTTTTGCAGTTTTTTCCAACTTGTTGCTAGGCAGATTAAAAGGCAAAAAGCATCAAAAATCCACTATATGCATTTCTGCAGCGTCTCCATTAAAGTCTATTGAACCAAAACGCAATGTTTTGTGTTTAAGGCTAGGTTCATACCTATGCACTTTGCAGTTGATCCGTTTCTGCAGTGCTTTTTGCGGCGCGTTTTACGTTTTTGCACATGCATTTTTTGCGCTTCTTTTCAATTTGTTGCTGGCCAGAATAAAACGCAAAACGCATCAAAAACGCTCTACATGCTTTTCTGCGTGCATCTTCATTGAAGTCTATAGAACCAAAAACACAACATTTTGCGTTTAGAAAAGTCGCCGACGCTTTCCAAAAAACGCACCGAGTGAAAACGCAGAGATGTGAACCTGTCCCATAGGAAATCATATCAAATGGACTGTAGTGAAGTTCTGCAAAACGCAAAATGGGATTGGAAGAAGCTGCATGAAGGGATACCAAATTCAGATCTTAAAAGGATTTTAATTGGTCATTATTATACAGCTGGTAAAGATAATGGACGCCTCTAGATTTCCATCCAGCGAAGCCCTGCAATTTACCTAGTTCTTCCAACTGATCCGCCTCCCAAATGGGGTGATACCCTGGAATCCCTTCATATCTCATGATTCGCTTCACGGCTGTATTCTACCACTAATACGCACATGTTGTATACATGTTCAAACCTGAATTTTGGACAAGATCTATTCTATTTTTTTTCCTATTCTATTCTTTTATTTTCTATTCTGTTTTACTATATTTTATTTCATTTAGTTTTAGTCTATTCTATCCCTTTGTTTTCTAATCAATGTTAGTCTATTCTATTCTGTTCTTTTCCATTCTTTTTTATTCTATTCTATTCTTTTCAAAATTCTAATTTTAGAAGGCAGTTATATTATTTCTATTTTATTGTAGTATACTGTATTCTGTTCAATTCTATTCTTTTCAAAATTCAAATTTTAGAAGGCAGCTATATTCTTTCTATTTTATTGTAGTATACTGTATTCTGTTCAATTCTATTCTTTTTTTTTTTTCTATTCTATTGTTTTCTATTCCTTTGTTTTCTAATTTGTTTTATTATATTGTTTTTTGCTATTCTGTTCTATTGTTTTCTATTCTATGCTATTCTTTTTTTTCTATTTTATTTTATTTATTCTATTATTTTCTGTTCTATTCTAGTCGTTTCTATTCTATTCTTTTCTATTCTATTCTTTTTTATTCTATTCAATTCAGTTTTATTCTTTTCTTTGCTTTTCGAAATTCAAAAGTCGGAAGACAGCTATATTCTAACACTAATACACACATGTTGTGTACAAATTAGAATTTCGGACAAAATCTTTTCTATTTTTTTTCTTATTCTATTCTTTTATTTTGCATTTTATTCTGTTCTGTTTTACTCTATTCTATTCTCTTATTTAATTTTCTATTATATTCTATTATTTTGTATCCCTTTATTTTCTATTCTATTTTATTCTATTCTAATACTTTGATTTCTAATCTATTTTATTCTATTCTATTCTGTTCTTTTCTATTCTGTTTTATTCTATTACATTCTTTTCAAAATTCGAATTTTGAAAAACAGCTGCGTATTTTTCTATTTTATTGCTTTTTATTCTAAAGAATTCTGTTCTATTTTTTTCTATTTTATTCCTTTATTGTCTATTCTATTTTATTCTATGCCTTTTTTTCTATTCTATTCTTTTCTATTCTATTCTGCTTTGTTATATTCTAT